CAACCCTTGCAAATTTCTTCGCCTAGTTTGCGAAGACCCAGACGGCAGTGTTACCGGTGGGGTCTTCTTGGCAACCCTTGCAAATTTCTTCGCCTAGTTTGCGAAGACCCAGACGGCAGTGTTACCGGTGGGGTCTTCTTGGCAACCCTTGCAAATTTCTTCGCCTAGTTTGCGAAGACCCAGACGGCAGTGTTACCGGTGGGGTCTTCTTGGAAACCCTTGCAAATTTCTTCGCCTAGTTTGCGAAGACCTAGACGGCAGTGTTACCGGTGGGGTCTTCTTGGCAACCCTTGCAAATTTCTTCGCCTAGTTTGCGAAGACCCAGACGGCAGTGTTACCGGTGGGGTCTTCTTGGCAACCCTTGCAAATTCCTTCGCCTAGTTTGCGAAGACCCAGACGGCAGTGTTACCGGTGGGGTCTTCTTGGCAACCCTTGCAAATTTCTTCGCCTAGTTTGCGAAGACCCAGACGGCAGTGTTACCGGTGGGGTCTTCTTGGCAACCCTTGCAAATTTCTTCGCCTAGTTTGCGAAGACCCAGACGGCAGTGTTACCGGTGGGGTCTTCTTGGCAACCCTTGCAAATTTCTTCGCCTAGTTTGCGAAGACCCAGACGGCAGTGTTATCGGTGGGGTCTTCTTGGCAACCCTTGCAAATTTCTTCGCCTAGTTTGCGAAGACCCAGACGGCAGTGTTACCGGTGGGGTCTTCTTGGCAACCCTTGCAAATTTCTTCGCCTAGTTTGCGAAGACCCAGACGGCAGTGTTCCCGGTGGGGTCTTCTTGGCAACCCTAGTAAATTTCTTCGCCTAGTTGGAGAAGACCCAAGCGGTAGTGTTACCGGCGGGGTTCTTTTGGTTATCCTCGCAGAAATATGTACAAAAAAAAATAACAAGAATTCTAGTATTGAAGTGCAGAAACATAAAAAGCATTCAAAAGCCGGCTCAGCCGGTGAAAATGTTAATATTCAAAATAAAAATTATTACAGCTTAGCCCATCTCATCCGGTGCTATTATAAGATAATACAAGGCGCGCAGGCCGGGAAGTAGTTGCTACTCCAGGCGAACAGTGAACCGGTCCTATTCCGGTTGGTTCTGGGTTGGATCAGGGTGAGCGGCTGCGTCGGCTTCAGGAACGACTTCCTCCTCTTCAGCAGCCTCCGCCTGCCGTCGCGCAATCTCCTCCCTAACCCAAGCGTCATAGGGTCCGGGCCCCGGCTCATTCGCCTCCTCGGCCAAAATGGCAAGATCAGAATATTTGAAGGCGAGTTCCCAGACGGTGAAGTCCGCCTCCGGGTGGATGAGGGAAAACGCCCGTTGCATCCGGTTTGCACACTCATGCTCATTCTCTTCAATGAGCCTCTCTTGCTCCGACTCCAAGGTGGCCTTGAAGTTCTCATTGGCAGCAGTCGCCTCTTTGCGCAGGCGCTCATTCTCTTTGGCAAGGCGGCCATTTTCAGTCTCCGCCTTGCTCAGCCGTTGGAGGGGCTCTGTCTGTTCCTCCAACTTTTTATTGGCATCATCCAGGGACGCCTGCAGTTGGTCAACTTGGTTTTTCAGCTGATCAATCTGCTGTTGGAGGGCCTTGGTCTTCTCCGCCTGTTCCATGCGTATAGATTTAGATTCTAAGCCATGCATGTACAAAGAGTAGTCAGCAACATTATGGGCGTCATCAACAGCCCGTTTGCTTCTCCTTACCTCCTCAGACTTGCGGGTATAAGCTCGTTTGAGCCCCTCTACGCGCAGCATAGCCTGCAAAAATACAGCCGGTTAATACTGCATATTTAAAAATGCACGTCAAGAAAATTACCGCATGGTTGTTGGAGCATACGTCGGCCAGGTCGACCAGCACCCGGTCGGCATTAAAGGAGTTGATCCCAGGGATCGCCTCCTTCTCGTCCCTGGGGACGGCTTTCAGCATGGCCCGGGCATATTGTGCCCCGTCCGGCCAGCGGGGAGAATTATCTGCACCAGAAACAGACGGTGAGAAACTCGCATATGCTCTGCCTATAGATTGCCGGCTGATTGGAGAATCCCCCGGCTGCGATCGAGACTGTGAATTAGACTTGACCCGCATGGGCAGATCAAGCAGTGTAAGGTCGAAGTTACCTTGGCGGCCCGAACGGCCTTCAGAGGGACCGGTTGCGGTCCTCAATGGGATGGCAGAAAGCACATCCGCAGATCCAGGCCCGCCTGGGACCTTTATTGATTTGCCGCCGGTAGTTTGCCGGTCGGCTGTCTTCTGCACCTTGGATGCAGACTCTTGTTGGGTCGGCGGAGGCCTGACCTGTTTTTGAAGGGACCGGGGCATCTGCTTCCCGTCCTGTAAACGAGAAAAATATAAGTTATGGGATAAAAGGATTGAAATAAACGAGAAGGATCAGACGGTTATACCTTCTTCGCCGCCTGGGCAGCAAGTTTTTTCTCGAGATTGGCTTTCCGGATGTCGGCAGCCGACCTAGCCGGTGTCTTCTCGGTGGGCAGCATTTTCTTGGCTTCTTCTGCAGAGGAAGGCACACGGTTAGAATAATAAATAAGCAAGGAAATAAAAGCATCCGGTTCGAAAGAAACCGGCTGAGTTCCGAATACATACGTTTTTTAAACATGCTGCTTAGACCACAAGCGGACAAGAAGCATTCGTCCCTAAAAAATTCATGTTTGGGCACCCAGTTTCTAGGTACCCTTACTATCTCTCCGGATGAGAGGGTGTCAGGAACTAACTCAAAAAACCCGGAGTCAAGGATGGTCTCTCTATCATCCTCCGGGACAGGGGGCAGGCAGCACTTGGTCCCCAAGAGTTCTGGTTTCCGGTTGTAGATCCGGAATTCTCTGTTCTCTGCCGTAGTTGGGGCCTTAACCAAGTAGAACCGGTGCTTCCAGTCCGACCATTTGGATGGCTTGTCCAAGGTCATAAGGTATTTGGGCTGGGTGGTCAAGGTATACCAGGCTCTCCAGCCGCCTGGGCTCCTACTCAAGTAATGCATGTGGGCAAACGCCTCCCAGCCGGGGTTGAGGCCCTGCATCTCGCAGGCGGCGATATACCCTAAAATATTTACCCATGAGTTGGGGGTTAATTGCCAGAGACCTAGGCCATACCTCCTAAGTATGGCTTTTATTGTGTCGTGGAGAGGGAAGCGGACTCCGGCCACGAAGGCCGCCTCGTAGCACCCAAACCAAGCGTTCGCGTTCGGTTGTCCATCCTCCCACCATATTGTTCCCAGAGCAGCCGGGATTTTTATTGAATAGTCACCCCCCAGCGGCCGCCGTTTGATAAAATCTGGCAGCGCAGCCCGCATGAGCTCGCGGTCCTTAGAGGAGACGGCGATCATGAGAGGATCGTTCCTATTGTCCCAAGAAGGCCTCTCCGCCTCCTCGCTATCCTCAGATTCGGTTAAGTAGCTGCTACTGCTACTTTGAACGTGACCGGCATCAGAGCCGGCTGGGGAGTTGGAGACCTCCTCATCAGAGCCTACCTGCTCTCTGGTCTCCTGGAGGGGAGCACTCTCTTCGTTTAAAATGCTATCACCCGGGGTGCTAGGAGCACCCCCGGGTGAGCCTCTCTGCTCTACCTCTCCTTGCTCTACTTCACCGCCTGAAGCTGGGACCTCAGGCGGCTGCTCATCTGAGCTCCCACTTCTGTAGTTGGGATCTCTGGCAGTAGACCGGATTCTGGCCATTGTGTCCTGCACAGACACAGAGTCGGTCGATATGGGTGTTGAAAAAGGGTTGTCCCAAAGAACAGAGGCGGCAGACCCAGTTCCAGACTCAGCCGTACTAATAAACCGGCTGAGTTCACAGCTAGGTTCCGGGTATGGGTATAAGGGGTCCATCTACTTATGGGACCAATGAACAAAAATGCGAGTAAAAGACTCAAACGGAAATACATGAAAAAGCTAGAAAGAATAGAGACGGTACCTAGAAGAAAATCTGGAAATTCTTTGGGATGCTTGCGAAGACGCAGGCGGTTCAAAATCCGGCTGGGTTTCTATGATTACCCTCTCGAAAACCTCTGGCTAGCTTGCAACGACCCAGACGGTCTGTAGACCGGTTGCTCCCAACGAATCTCAACTCCGAATGCTCTCAACTCTCAAATTGCCGGCTGCTCTCAAATTTTCAGAAATTTGGCAAAGTTTGTAAATGAGAGCTCGGGGGACATCTTCTCCTATTTATAGAATTTGTCCCAGAAGGTGAAAAGTCGTGACTCTTCGCCTTCTGCTTTTCCATCCTTCAAAAAAAAAAAAAAAAAAAAACCTTTCACCGGCGCCACGTGGCACCCTGCCACGTCAGCACCAGTGAGGGGCAAATGTTTGGGGTAAAAATACCCTAAACACGTGGCCCAATGGCCTAGTGACACGTGGCATCCAGCCGTTGGTCAGCAGTGCTCCAATCCTCTGCTGACACGTGTCCTCTAAACCCTAAAAGGGAAACCATCCCTTCCCCACTATAAATAGTGGAAGGACCCTCATTAATGGGGGGCTGGAACATTTGTTGTTCACATTGAATACTCCTCAAAAAGAAAAACATTTACCCCGAGCAATATTAATTGCAGAATTCTCCCATTACGCGAGAAGTAACTTCCACATTACGTGCATTCTACCTCCCGTATCTTTACTAACTTGATCGTCGGAGGCGGAGCTCCTACCCCCAGGAGACTTCGTGATTTTGCAGGCACAGGCGTCGAAGGGCATTCTTGGAATTGTAACTCTCCCGCAGGACACATCAAAAAACCCCGAAACACTTCTGTACTCGACTTGACCAGCTGGGTGACTATGAGGTATAAGTAGATACGTAATTACTATTTGTCTTATATTGATTTTATTTACAGTTGATTTACAGATATAACTAATTTGCAGGTATGTTGGTTGCCATACGGTGCTTTTCCTGCACAACAGGTGCCTAGGACTATGTTTACTGGATGTATTCGCTATCGAGGCATCATAGAACCATATATGCCCGATCGAGTTGTTCGACAGTTGGGGTTTATACAGGAGATTCCCTGTGACATGATTAGGCCTGATGATACATGACATTCCATATTGTGGCAATAGCAAACAAATCCTGCTGTGCTACCATCCAATGCTCCTGTCCACACGCATCACCATCCCATCTGATCCGGTCTACCTCCCTCTGCAGTCCTGAACCAAACTGTTGACCCCATATGTCGTAGTAAATCATGCTGTACAACCAAGGATGAGAACCAACCTCATTTGCGATATGATGTCGAACCAACCGCAATTCCTCCTGATCTCCGTAACAAAAATCTGCTACGCAACGAAATTCGCAATTCCCATCTCCACTTATGTCCTTAACACCTACGACGTAAGGCCACATGATGTTGGGAATCGCGTAGCTGTATCTACATTGTCGCATGTCGAACCCGGTACCTACAAAATAAAAAACATAATATGACATATAATTAAGTTATTACACAAAATAAATTAAAATATACGATGTATGAAAACATTATATAATTATATCGATAATCATCTATATCAAATGGGGGTGGTCTACTTCTAGATCGATTATCTCGCCCATTACGCTGAACATGCTCAAAAAACGAACGATCTCGCCTGTTCCTTCTCTTGGGAGGTCGTCCCCTTACTCGAGGATTGACTTGAGGCTCCTGAAGGTCATCGTAGTTAGGATCCGTCTCACCCTCAATCACTCGAGACACGTGCCTAAGCATCACAGGGTCGCTGGCAATAACCTGATCAATAAGGGTGCGGAAATGAGCTCGATCCTCATCATTTTCATCAACTATATCAGGAATGTCAACACCCGCTCCAATGACAAGGGTCCTCCAATATGGATGAATGTCCTTCGTATACAACCCCTTCCCTGCAGTAATCGAGTCATATATTTGGCACGCACAAGGTAACCCGTGGGTAGTACGTAGAGCACACCCACAACGTCGATGGACATCCGTACTCAACCCTCGCATCATGTTCGTCTCACCAAGAAGAATAGACAGACAATAGTGGGATACCTTTCCGTTCAGCTGATGCAAAGGCTTATGCTTGTACTTTTGACCATGAGTTGCTCTACATGCCTCTAACCCATTACGAATGGCTATGATCTGGTTTTCAATCGAGCAGTGCACCTAAGACCAAACTGTGTCTAAAGAACCTGTAGAACTGTTAATCCAACATTTCAATGCCGAATGCTGGCTCTCAACCCTGCAGTTGTTAACATTGCCGAAGTGCAGTACCTGATTTGTCCAAAACATCACAAACTTCTCCTTGTGTATGAGCCAAGTGTCCACAACATAGTTAATCACTTTCGGCCATCGACTCCACTTGGTTTTCAGCTCTACAAGCTCTCTTTCATATGCCTCTTCAGATGTAGCATTAATCACATGCCTCCACCTCCCATTTTTGAACTTGGCACCAATCTCCTTCTTTTTTTCAAACATGGAAGTAAACTTCGCCTCAACATCTTTGTTAATATGCCACACACACAACATGTGTCTTGTATTTGGAAACACGCTCTTCAACGCTGCACAAAGACCAAGCTCCCTATCTGTCAGTAGTACCGACGGCTCTCTATGATGACCAATCAACAACCTCAAGCACTGAAGCACCCACCGATAACTTTCTTCGGACTCCGACCTCATGAATGCGTATGTAACAAGAAAGTTCTGATTTGTCGGTGTGACCCCAACAATCTCAAAGAATGGCATGCCGTATCGGTTCTTCTTGTAAGTGGAATCCATACCTATCACGTACGGGTATGTGCGCAACAAATTTGTCATGATCGGGTGTGCCATGAAAGCATATTGCAACACATTGTTGGAATCAGTCATAACCCAAGTAAGGTATTTTCTCTGTCTGGCCAAATGAAGCACCTGGTGAACCACCTCTCTTCCCTCGAATCGCTCCATTCTGATATTACTTCTGCAGTTGTAGACATGCCTGATGTTTGGATGGTCTCCGGGAAACTTTTCTACAAGAGTTATCATGATATGCCGAGGTGGAACCTGTGCCTGAGTCATGTCACGAACTACCTGCTTAGCAGCAAGACTAAGACCGCTGATTTGTCGATGTCCCTCAGGATACACAACCAAAGAATGATTGTGAGTGTCGTTCAAGCAATTGAGCTTCCAACCACTTACTACTCTGACATACTCAACCTTGAGTCTGAAGGGACAACTGTTTGCCTTGCTTTTCGTGTCTTTGCGTATCGTGTTCATCATGTCTCTTATCATGCTCTTTTTTCCACGATCACAACTCACATATCGATACGACCGACCACTCCGATCGGTCTTGTAAGAAGCCTTCACTAACATAAATCCGAGCGGGCGACAAACATTTTGTGCCCACAGAACGGCATCCTCAAAACTCGGAAACACAGTGTCTGTCAAAAAATGTATGCTATAATCCACACCATCACCATCCTCGGACTCAGAATCCTATAATAATAATAATAACAATAAAAACAAAATTAATAAAAGTTGACAAACAACAAAAACACAACTAATAATAATAACAACTAATAATAATACTTCTAACAATACACAACTAATTATAATAACAATTAATTATAATAATACTTCAAAATTAATAAAAAATTCGAAATTTCCAGGCAAACGCCCAAAATTTTCGAAAAACCTAGGCTGAAACGCCTAGTTTTTTCGAACACCCTAGGATATTCCAAAAAAACTAGGCGTTTCAGCCTAGGTTTTTCGAAATTTCTGGGCGTTTGCCTTGAAATTTCCTAAACAGAAAATTAAATATTCGGAAATTCAAAAAAAAAGAAAACGCCTAGTTTTTTTCGGAATATCCTAGGGTGTTCGAAAAAAACTAGGCGTTTCAACCTAGGTTATTCGATTTTTTTGGGCGTTTGCCTGGAAATTTCATAAACTGAAAATTATATATTCGGAATTTCGAAAAAAAAAAAAATTAAATAATCGTACCGATTCCGTACAGTCCGACGAGCCTCCGGCAACCAACGTGGGTGGTGTTTCCGGCCTTTCGTTGTCTTCCATGGGATCCAACGAATTAGGTTTTGCAAAATTTAAATTATTTGTTTGATTTTGAAAATTACAGTGGTTGGTGGTTCAACGTGATTGTTGGTGGCCGGTGTGAGCACTAGGGAGAACGGTAAAAAATTATATGTAGGGTAAAAGTGTTAAGTTTATGTAAAAATAACTATTTCATAATATTTTTATAACAAGGCTACGTACGTCATTTTAGGTTATATTGCGGGCGTTAGTTAGAGATTCGAGGACGACGTTTAGCATTCCATTAATCATATGTACTTCCTCCGTTTTTTTTATAATTGCAATAGTTTCAACTTTTACATTATTCATGTGTTTCTCTTTGACTAGCTTTAATGGTTTGTACTTAAATAAAAATATAGTCATGTGAAATCTTATTATATTCGTCTCGATTTATATAATTTTAATACCAAATATTTATACATTTACATAGTGATAATTAAAGATATTAACGATTAAAAACATTCATCAGCAAATGTGAAAAGAAAATTTTTGCTACTAATATAAAAAAAAAAACCAGAAAAGTATGTGTTTTTTCAACCTCTATAGTATTGCACATTTGCTAAATTGCTAATGCCTAATAGTGGACTTGACTTCTTTTTATTCAAAAAGCCAAGAAGCCAACAGTGGTGGGACAATTCAACACTTTGGCGGTGAATTTATGAGAAAAAAAGAGTGGCATTCCCGTAATTCCAACAAACAACAAGGTCAATTCCCAAACCACCCCGATATTTCACCAATTTCCAACCATTTACACCGCACAAAGACGCGTATACCAATCAAACTCCTTCTTAATCAAGAAACAAACACACCCACTCTCAATCGTCACCACTCATTCCTCCATGTCACCGATCCACTCCTCCTCAATCCAACGGCCACAATACCCTCTACCCAAACCCTAACCCGGCCCGCCACATTCCTCCATCTCCCTCCCGTTGGGGTTTATCTCCTAGAGAGAGAGTTCTAGAGAGAGAAACTTTTCATACAAAACAAAAACTCACCATTTTTTAGAGAGAGAAAAAAATTAATTTCATAGAACATCATCTTCTTTCTTCCCTCTGCTAAAAAACCTGAAATTTAGGGTTTTTAAACGAATCACACTGTACCCAGAATTAGGGTTTTCAACTTCCTAATTGCAAAAATAAAATTAAAAAAAAAACGTTTCTTTGAAAAAATTGGAGTTTTCATATTTAAAATCCCTAATTTTATTTTTATGAGAGATAATTTATAAAAAATTGGAAAAATAGTTGATAGTTGTTGGATGGACGAGATCTGGGAGAGGGCGGTGGTAACGGCGTTAGACGGGCAAACGGATTACGGTGCAACGAAAAGCTTAACCCTAGACGGAGCCGTTAAGTGTTTTGCACGGGCGTTTACCAGCACCATCAGTAATTGGAGAAGTTCCAGAATCTTCAGCATCTTTCGCTTGCTAGTATTGGAGTATCATCGCTTGAGCAGTTTCCTAGGTTGGGTAGTTTGCAGAAACTTATACTTTCAGATAATAGGATTTCTTCGGGTTTAGAGTATCTTGTTGAAGCGGGTCTTGATTCGTTGAGAGACCTTGATTTGTCGAATAATAGGATTCAGTATATTGAGGATCTTGCGCCATTAGCTGGGTTGAAGCTTGTTTCGCTTGATTTGTATGAGTGTCCTGTTACTAGGATTAAGGATTATAGGGCGAGGGTGTTTGGGTTGATTAAGTCGTTGAAGTATTTGGATAAGATGGATGCTGAGGAGAATGAGAGGCTCGAAAGCGATGACGAGGAGGAGGAGGATGATGAGGAGGAGGAGCAGGAGGAGGAGGATGATCCGGGAGTGGGGAGGTTGATTGGGGATGGAGATGGGGAGGAGAGGGGTTATAGGATGACGAATGGGCATAGTGGGGGCGGTGCCGGGGATGGGATTGTTGATGTGGATGAGGATGAGGAGAGTGATGCCGATGAGGAGGAGGCGGAGATGGAGGTTTTCGAGGAGGAGGGAGAATGGTGGGGGGTTGCATAATGGGAGGGAGAACGGGTTTAGAGTAGAGGCGGCTGGGGAGGTGGATGGGGAGGATGAGGATGAGGAGGATGACGGCGAGGAGGAGGAGGATGTTGAGGAGATTGATGAGGATGATGGGGAGGAAGAGGAGGATGTGGTTGAGGTTCATGATATTGTAGATAGTGATGATGATGATGATGGGGATGAGGAGTTTGACGAGGATGATGATGATGATGATGAGGAGGAGGAGGATGAGGTTGAGGAGGTTGATAATGATGAGGTTGAGGCTGCGGAGCCAGAGAGTGTTAGTAGATTGACTAGTACTGATGGAGAGATTGATGGACATGAACAAGGGGAGGATGAGGATGATGAAGATGATAATGGGGAGACTGGAGAGGAGGAGCTTGATGTTGAAGATGAGGGAGAATCGGATGATGACGAGGGTGAGGATGAGGTATAACTCACTGACCTTTGGTTTAAGTGCCTGTGTATGCTGTTTTTTGCTTATTATTTGCTCGATTTCCTCTGATATATGCAGTGCGCGTTTTAGGTACTTAGTGAGATGTGTAGCTGAGTCTTTGTTGTCTGTATGTTAGCTAAGGTTGCTATTTTTTCCGTTAAGGGGGTGATGCATGCTGTAATCTGTAGTTGTGGTGATGCTAACCTCTGTTTATAGTGCTTGCGATCGTTTCCAAAATTTTGTAGAAGCTGTAGTTGTTCATGTGGCTTCAGGCCTCTGTGTGTTTTACTTTCTGTTAGTTATGTGTGTGTTATATTTTGCTAGTTAATCCGAGGAAGAAAAGAAAGAAAAATGGCTATAGTATGACTAGGGAGATTTCTGTTGGTTATACCAATTTACCTATTGGTGATTAAAAAATTTAACCTTTTCTTGTATAATACGTTGTGCTACATGCAGCTTTGAACTTGAGAAAGGATGTTAACTTCAAAAATTATTGGAAGTCTAAGTTGGATGTTTTTTGAGAGATGTGATTTCTGTTGGTTTTTCTGTCTTTCGTTTAACTGGCTCTATAATCATCTGGTGCGGTGTTGAGTTATTCGTTGTTGATGTTTCATATTTCTTGAGAGCTCTAATCTTGTTTGTATTCTTGAGTGTTGTTTGAACGATCTAAAATTGGGGACTGATAAATGGTTTGATATCAAAGGTTGCTTGGGGTGATCCTTTTATGCTTGGGTTAGTTTTAGTTCTTCATTGCATCTTTTGATCTTTTTTCTTCTGTGTGTCTATTTTTTTCCTTTTATTTTTGGGTTTATGACTTTAAGGGTCTTAGCAGGGAATAAAGAGTTGGTGAATTTACTGCTTTTTGAAACTCTACTTGAATGTTCTAAGGTGGTTTTTGGGAGTGCCTTTTCTTTTAAAAAGTGTGTTAATTTTTTCTTTTTTTGGAAAGAAAATTCACTTCTGTCTAGTTGTTTTGATTTGGTGTGCGCCTGTACGATGCCTCTTCACTTCTCAGTATATGTTTCATGATCTGTGATTACCTCTTGTATTAGTCGTCAAGGCCTTTTCTGGGCTGCTTTGTCATTTAACTTGTATGCTGTGTGCGGGTGCTGGTTTGCATTTGATTTTTTGCTGGAGATTTCTAATGTGTTTTCCAGGAAATACATTTTATCTGTGATGATATCGTCCTATTAAGTATTTATAAATCTAATGTTCATGCTGAATCTTGGGTAATTTTTTGCTTGAGTTTGCTCATGAACTGTGTTGCTTTCAATGGCAGGAAGAAGATGGTGAAGAGGGCTACTTGGTACAGCGGGTTAGACAGTCAACAGAGGTTGCAGAAGATAGTGACATGGAAGCTGTAAATGAGGTAGAAGATGCTGTGGATGGTGAGGAAGTTGAAGATGCCGTGGATGGTGAGGAAGTTGAAGATGATGAGGATGATCTAGGGGAAGGGCAGGTGATGGCGCCATCTTCTTCTGAATCAAAAAGGAAGAGAGATGATGATGCTGTTGTCGACAACGATGATGAAGAAGATTCTGATGATGCAGAGAGGCGATCCTCAAAGAAGCGTCAGTGAAGAAGATTTTGCTGGTAGGTTCTTTCATGGTGTGTGTCTAGTGAACAGAGATGGAGAACCTCAAAGTGTATATCTCATTGGTAGGCAGCAGTTCAGTTTTACGAGGTTTTAGACTGTTTTCCTTGGACAGAGTATTTAGGAGGGAAAACTATCCCAGATATGATGGGTTTCTTTTCTTTTCTTTCTTTTTTTTTTTTTTTTTTTATAAAATCTTGTTCAAAAAGTGGTTAGTTATGGTTTTGGCTCCCCTCTTCTATGAAAATAGCCGTTAGTTTGGGTTATTTGAATGACAGTTAAATGATAAGGGTTCATTGTCCTTGTGTTTTCCCCCCAAAATCTTCAGTATATATAAATATTCAAGTTAAAAAAGGGGGAAATTATAGTAGGAACTCCAACAGTCTTTGTTACTACCCGCCTTATTGCTTGTTGAAGCAAATTTTCAATTGGAGATATAAAAAGGCTTCCTTCTTTTAAGATGCTTTCTTTCTCCCTTTGTTGTTAATGTTCACTCTCTCTATGGGCATTTCCGTCTTTTCACATTCTCTCTCTTCGATCATACCCTTGCTCTTTTAATTATGTGTTTTATATTCCCTGTTTAAGTGGCAATCTTGGAGTGTTTTTAACTTTTGCCCCACTTATTTTACAGGTATTATATCATCATATAATTAATCACAGTAATCATGTCATTCATGTGTGCCTCTACCACATGAAGAAAGTCTGGTATATTCTTTGGGCTGGGCTCGTGTGTGGACTTTATAATTGTACTCAATTGGGCCATCTTTTGGGCTAATTACAAGTCTTGTTATACTGTGATTAATGTAATAAATACTCCTATTTGTTGGCAGGGAATCAATAATACTTTCATGTGGTCATGTGCATATAGGATAAGGTTTTAGCAACGAACCAAAATTTGTGGTTTAGTAAAATTGAATAAAAGTGTTTATGTTACGAAGTCATAGTTCCTCTCTCTTCTTTTCCTTTCCCTCTTTCTTGAGTTTTTCCTGCTAACTGCATACTATGTTGCTATCTCCGTCATTCACCACAGTCATCAGGCCACTTAAAGCTCACAACAGCGTGTACACAAGGAATCCTTCACAATGTTTGACGATGATCAAGGTGGTAGCCATGGCGAAGGGTACCAGCAATGAGACTGAAGACGGTGGGATAGTCGAGAAACTAGCTATAGCCGGAGGATTGATTTCGTCTCCGGTGATCGGATGGTCACTCTACACCCTTAAGACAACAGGCTGTGGGCTTCCTCCTGGTCCTGGTGGATCAATAGGGGCTTTGGAGGGGGTTAGCTACTTGGTTGTGTTGGGAATAATCGGCTGGTCTTTGTACACTAAGACAAAGACAGGTTCGGGTCTTCCCAACGGGCCTTTCGGTTTGCTGGGTGCTGTTGAAGGCTTGTCATACTTGAGCTTGCTAGCCATTCTTCTTGTGTTCGGATTACAGTTTGCGCAGAATGGTTCTATTCCTGGGCCCTTACCAGGAGACCAATGTTTTGGCTAACTGTATATATTTATGAATGTATGTATGATCAGTTAAGTATAAATGAAATAGAAAATCTATGTTTTTCTTGTCCATATTTAAGATTATCTGCTAAAGTTTAGATATTAATATATATCTTTTCTGAGAAAAGATACTAATATACTCCGGTATTATTCAAGCACTACTCATATACAGAATACAGTACACCATGTGGAACTTTCACTCAAGAAATCTCCATGTTCTAGATAACCCCTAAACCTGTAACTTTGTTTATAAACTTTAAAGATGGCATCGGCACAACCCACAACACAGCACTGTGGCCTCGAGTCAAGAGGTTGCCCCACAGCACAAGTCGTGAGTGACTCATGACGTATAGTTTGTGCCCTTTGTGTTTTTTCATTAAGTGGCAAGACACGATCCAATACTATGTGGCCTATCCAATGCCATTAGGGTGACAATAGTGAGAGCTCGGGAGTATTAATGTTTAGAAACGTAGTTAATTTAGTCAATATTATAATTTTTCAACTAACACTAAACACAAAACTCTATTGACTATCATTGATTGAAACAAAATCCAAACTTTAACAAAAATTTATTTAAAATTTGACTACTTTAATTTGACTTGGCTTGATCTCGATCAGAGGTGAAGTCTATTTGACATAGAGTTATAACGCGACTCAATTCATCATCATCATCATCAAATACAGAGATTAATAACTTAAGTAGGCAAATGGATGAACAAGAACAATTAAAATTTTCTTATACCTTAAAAGTCTTAATATGAAATATGAATCTTCCATATAGAACCAAAGTTGTAGTCAAAATTGAGAATTTAATCAAACATGCAAATATATACAACTTTGGAGACCAAAATTATACACAGTCTCTCATCAAGTACAAAACCAGTGAATGTTAACTAACTTAGTTGGCAATGGCAATATTCCTAACCTTGAGATCGAATTTTGTCTATATCATTACGTATATAGTTCTCTATGAACCTTCCCTCCAAATGAAAAAGAAAAAAAGAAAAAAAACATTTAATCAACGATCAATATTCTAAAGTCTCTACTTCCTCTTTTGGTGGTGTAAAGAAGTCAGTATCCAAACCCCAAATGTTAAAACCAACTTCATCGATTTTCCATGTTTCTTCAATCTCTCTTTGGTGATTAGCTGACTGCTCACCATACCTAAACACTCTAACAGAGGTTTTTCCACTGTGGGCTATATTAATCCCATCAACATACCTATAGTCTTCAATGAATGACTCTGCACTTGTCTCCCAAAACACTCCATCTCCATCATCGTTGTCAACATTGTTCTTCAAACGCAACATCCTTGAGTCCTCAAACTGGAGGAGGAGACCAGATCTTTGGCTGAAGTAACCCCATAAGGTGTGGTGGATGATCTCATACTTTGGATCACTTTGTGCATCCAGTGTTTTCTGGCTTGTCTCAAGCTTGAGGATGAAGCAATCCTCGTGGTTGATGACCTTCTCCCCGATACATACTGCATCTATGAACAAATTGGCTGTAGCCCTTGGGTCCAAGCCCTGAAAAAAAAATCAAGGATCGATTAGGGAAGTGACCTTATGTTGAAATGTGAAGGAAACTAGGTACATAGTCAATGCTATATGAAGAACTCCAATCCACACCTTACAAGTATAAGGTTAACAGATGCAGGAATTCAAGAACAAATAATCAAGAATGATACAGATTTATGTGGTTCACAACCGATATTAGTTATGTTTCTGCTGTCCAAGATACATAGCACAAAATAGCTAGACTTCTGATCATGAAGGGGGTTCTACATAGAACAACAAAAACTAAAAAATGAACTAGGTCCATGGTAGAAAATTATAGTAAGCCCAAGTTTGTAAACATAAATATACCACGACGTTTACATGCCAGATTCAGCTTGAGTTGAGTATGTCTAATTCAGTGTAGTTGATTTTGTGTTATCATATCCTCATAAGCTCTTCTACGAATATGAAATGCACATACATGAGGGACTAGCTCTTTTTCAGTAATGGAGCACTCTAGAACTATCGTAATATACACACACTATTTTTCACTCAGGACTCAGGAATAAATAAACTAAATTACCTGTAGAAACCGACGCAAGGGTCTGGGAGAACCAGTTGTGACAGAAGGTTGATTTGATGATTGCCTCCATGAAACCTTACCATTGCTTCCGGAGAAGACTTTGCAGCCAGACACCACAAATTCTAAACACCACAGGTCTGGATTCTTTTGCCACAATACAAATCCCCCGGCTTCATCAGTGTTTTTTCCCTTCACAGTTTGATCACCTAGATGAAACACAGTAGCGCCAATCCTAGCATGTCCTATAACACACATGCTCTGTATGGAGCTTATGGCTGTTTGCCCTCCTGTTGCTGCAATATACTGCTGTAAGATATACTTTGCAGTTGATGTTTGCTGCAATTGAAATCATAAACCCAATCACATGGGAACCCAACAAAAAGGGAGATAGAAATATAGAAAAGTGAAGAAAGAGTCCTTGGAATCATATGGGAGCAAGAATGACCAACCAGGCAAACAGCAAATTTAATTATCAGAACAGCCGGATAGAAAAAATTTCTTAGGAAAAGACACTTAGAGAAACAAAGAAATGCTAAGTAACACCAAAAAAGCAAACCAGTGAATTATTAAACATCACAATGAGTTTTCAGGGGCAGTACGTAACCAAATATTCTTCATTCCCCATTATATGTCTCAAAAATCAGTAATCCTAAATCAAAAGGAAATGTAACCGAAAAGAGCATAAATGAGTCATACAAGTTGGTGATCAAGCTAGCAGGGATCAAATGAGTGCAATATCAAACCGCGGCCTGGGCAAAGGCCAAAGTGTATGACCGGTTAAGCAAGTTCAAGACTTCAAGCACATATCGAGTAAAACATAATTTCTGACAAATAAGAATTTATGAGCACCATTATCTCAAGGTTACTTCAAACTTAAGACTAAAAGATCTATAAATCAGCCCACTAATTTGTCACCTGGTAATCTGTCATTTCTGTTCATTTAAAACAGTGCTAAGTCCTCAGAGAAATGAAGAAAATGAAACACAGCCTCATTGAAGCAAATGCAGAAGATTCAACACATCTCTTTAGGCTTCCAAGAAAATTTTAGTCAATATCCAAGTCTGTAAAACTCTAGTCAACTTAGGAAGATCAAACTGCACATCACAAAAGTATAAGGTATAATCACAAATCCCCCTAAATTAAGAGGAAAGCTTGCTAACATGATACACACTGAAAGGCCTGTTAATAATTCCGCATACGGAGTTCAAATCTCCATGTACAGAGCTACAGTCACCCCACAGGATTGCCTTTTAAATATGGTAGCTAGTCAATGTCTTTGGTTGGGTAGAAGTCATTGTATAATCTAACAACTAGCAACTATGGTTTCCTAATCTTCCACACAAAGCACCAATTGTTTCTAAATCTTTGTATCCACATATTCCACAATCTCCTATAAGTTCATCCAAATTCTAGCCAAACAATTAAGTTTCTAGGAGTTTTCACTTATACATCCTACTTCAGCTGGTAAAAACATATATACAGCCAAAGCTAAAATTTTGAAAAGGTAGTTAAGTGGAGTTGCCAAAATGAAAGAAGGCAAAAAAGCAAAAAGTTATTGTAAACACAATCGCAACAGATTGTGTTTAATGAACATGAAGCATTGAAATCAAAAAGTCATACTATTGGACCTGCACATTTTTCCAATTATAGTATAAGAAGCATTGATATCATTTTGTCAACGTGAATGCTATATATATAAAAATTTCTAACTTTTTTCCCCCGTTATTTTGGGGTTTGTGTTTAAGGCTCCGTTTGGTAGGGCGTAAAACATTTTCACTGAAAAGTGTTTTCCCATTTTACATTGTTTGGTTTGGTGTAAAACATTAAAATGTAAAACTTGGGGTGGAAAATCATTTTCCACCTTATTGAAAACATTTTCCCCCCAATTTAGAAGGAAAACATTTTCCATCACAAGTGGAGGGAAAACATTTTCCCTCACAATTGAATTTTAAGTTCAACTAAACAATGGAAAATGCTTAAAATGGAAAATCATTTTCCATTCAACCAAACAACGGAAAACTTTTTTGAAATTGAGATTTTCATTGTAAAATGGTTTTCATGAAAAACTATTTTACATTGAAAATGTTTTACACCCTACCAAACGGAGCCTAATTGGCAATTGTAAAAACTCTTTTTAAGCCACTTATAACATAAGATGCATCAAACTAAGTATTAGACAAGAGTCTGCTTGCTTATATATCAAAGTTTAGCTAACAAGCTTAAGATATCAATAGTATTAGGCCAGAAGACATACTGACATAAGAGATATAACACTGCAAAGTCAGAAAAATGTATTAGCATTCGAAAGGGGATTGAAGGTGGATAAACTCACAATGGAATTATCTCTAACGGGGCGACTAATCTTGTCAATATGAACCTGAAGAGGAATAAGGGGGGCACCAATATGATAAAGAATGAACCTTAGTTCATTAATCCGGCCTAAAATCACAGGCGATGACCATTTATCCGAGGTCTGAGCCTTCATCCATTGCTGCATATTTTGACAACGCAATGCAACATTGTTTCCCATGCTGTTAAACATTTCCTCCGGTATAGGCACCTCGAGGATTGTCTCGAGAGCATCTTCCTTATCCAAATTCGGACACAATTTCCTCATTCAGACCACCCAAGAGAACAAAAAAAAAAAAAAAAAAAAAAAAATCAATGACAAAGAAAAGAAACTCCTGTTTCACCAATGTGCATGTATGTTGATCAAAAGGCTAGATTTTGAACCAGTAATAAAAAAAAACTTGCTAAAATAAGAAAATCAGGAATTGGGGTGCACATTAAAATTCTCAAAATACTTATTCAAATTTGGGACATGATCATTTTCATGTCATAAGAAGAAACAAACTGGGTATGAATTTGGAGCAAAAAAAGAGAGAAAAAAAAGAAAAAAAATCCCACCATTTAGATTGAAATGTGGGTGGTGGATGGGGGATAGTCAACCAGTGAAAGGCTCCCCTTATTTGTAGAAATTTTTCATGGGCAAAATTTCAGCTTGCCATTTTGTCAAACAGTTGGTGCGCAACCCACGACTGAAACGATTTTGTTTATCATGTAGAAATGTATTAAAATGGCTGAAATTGGTGGGCTTATTATAAGTTAAATGCATATAAATGAGGGTAATCATGGTTATGAATGCATGAGTCATGAGAAGTTTTGTTTTTGCTCCGGCTTCATATGGCCGGCAGTAGGTAGCTTTGCCGGCCATGGGGATGGAGATAATGGGATATATGGTCAATATGGATAAAGTTTACTTACAAATAATCAAATGCAAAGAAGTTGGGAACTTTTGATTATTAATAGTATACTTTTACCATGATTCATGATAATCAATTTTTGGATTCTCATAAAAGGGCTATTTATCGGTCTAAAACCGGACTAGACATTATGAGTATAAAAATTAAAAGGTAATTTGAAGATTGAATTGGCTATGTTAGTATTAGACTTAGACCTCAACTGATTTGATAAAATTGGTTGAATACTAAAGATTAGAATCAGAATTTTAAAAGGTTTGTTATGCGTAATTTAAAACGAAACATTAGTTTGATTCAAGATTGATTTTAAAAGCTCGTATTAGAAATTATAGACCATATTGTGTTCTTTTTATAATGTATAATTCAAATTGGTTTTTTTTGATCTGGACTGATTTTTAAACACCTCTACTTTTAGTTAGATGTGAGAGTAAAAAATAATTAATAAAAAGGATTTGGTTAAGTAAAGGTGAATAAAAAATGATTTTGATCGAATAAATTTAAGTTATATAATAGAGGAATTTGATTAAGAGCAAATACAAGTTGATCTATTAGATCAATGAAATTTGTCAATCATAAGGGTATTATCGTCTTTCTAATAATTAAATCTAGAATATTGATGTAATAGCTGCGAAATGACGTGTTAAATGTTGCCACATAGATTTACGGCATAACTTGATGTTTGCTATGTTATTAACGTTGAGTTAGTAATTGCGGGCCAGGAAAGGTTGTTGGGAGTAATTGCGGAGTACTGGTTTGTACTTTGTACTATTTTAGTTAGTTATAAAGTGGAGTTATTCAAAGTTTAACAAAAATAGTATGAAGTACAAACCAATACCCCAATGTTACTCCCAACTACCTTCCCCGCAATTACTAACTCAACGTTAATGGCAAAACAAATGTTAAAAGATCAAATTGAAATGATAGGAGTAGTACTTGTGGGAATGTGGGTGACAGTCTGACAGAGCATGTGAAATGGCATAAATATGAGTTGGCGATTGTACACTGTTCTTCATAATTACGATTCCGCCATTTGATTGACATGCTCTGTTGATCTAACAGATCATTTGGGGCAGCCTCATTTGATTAATTGAAGATAAATAATAAAAAAAAAGCATGGAAAGAAAATGAATTTTTAAGAGCTAGACCCGATTATTATCCTATATTAACAACTTATATTAATATCAACAATAAAAAGATTTTTTTATTTTTTATAATTTCATCTTCTTCCTCTCAGCGCAACGGCAACACAGTAGCAAACCAGTACACCACCAACACCACACTTACATGAATAATGTAAACACCATCAACACACCTCCATGAATGCCACCAACGATCCTCTTCTTCCATGAATATCGGCAAGACGGCGGCTTCGCCTCCAAATTTAAAGAAAACCCTAACAATTAATACATAAATTAAGGGAATGGTTAACCCAAAATGGTAGGTATATTCCCACGGTACTTGGACTATAACAATGGAGCTTTGTTGATTTTCGATTTGACAAAAATTGAGCTTGAAGAGCTTCGTGGTGGGTTCGATTGTTGATGAAATTGCTCAGAACATGTTTGAAGAAGGTACAATCGCATCCTTTTAGGTGGTTCGACCGGAATCTTGATAAAGGGTTGTGGGTGTGGTGGTGGGTGTACCGGTGGATACTCACAGTCACCTCCATTGTAGTAGAAGGTTGAAGATTTAATGTTGGGGAATTTACAACACTATCCCTTAATAGTTTGTGTAAATGACATTTATACCCTAATATAAATAAACTTTGTTAATATAGGATATTATTTTCTCAAATTTATAGCTTTAAAACGAGACTTACCCATGAAATAAGACATTCATTAAGGGACGTAATGAGTACTCAAATTTAGTTGAACAAAATCAAATGTATTTGATTACTACTCTAATCTATAACTTCATAATTGAGTAATCTTATATCTTAATTACAGTGAATCATAATTAGATACATATCTACCTATAATCAACTAAACAAACATTTTAAGAATGCGACCAACTAATTTAGTACTATAGAGTGGGGACACTCAAAACTTGATCAACTACTTTATCATTTATCCTTAAACTCATTCACGACTCTCTTTGTAAAAGAAAATAACTATGGAGTAAAAAAACGACCATATTATATGGTAGTTTACCTCTAATGTCTAACTTACCAAACTACCACTTACCGCCATAATCACCTCAACCTTTCTCTCTGCTTCATTTCAGTTATCACCTCAGCAACTCACTCCTCAGCAGCTCTACTGCCATAACCAACTCTCACCTCAATCCTCTGTCCACTACTACTTCCTTTCAATCCAAAATAATCTCACACACTCAACTCAAATTTAGCAAAACCCAGAAAAAATTTCAATCAAAATCTTAGAATTTTGCCATTTTTGAGTAAAATTAAGGGTTTTGGGTTTTAGAATTTAGAAGCAACTCTCTGAAAAATCAATGTTTTAATTTGTACTTTTACCTTATCTTCCACTGAAATTTCTGGGTTTCCCTCCAATGTTTCTTCAAGCTTTTCTCACTCCTCCTTCCACTCTGTCTCCTCTTTCTCTCTCTTCACCCACCATTTCTTCTTCTTCTTCTTCTTCTTCTCCGCATTTCTCAAAACCCCTTTTCCTCCGCCCTTCAATCTCTCTCCTCCGCCGTAAACCCATCTCCGCCGCCGGACCCGGACCCGGAAATTCATACCCGGACCCGGCTTCCGATGACCCACCTGAAGCACCCGAAGATACTGCTCATGGTGTCTCCAAATTCAGTCAAATTCAGCGCCAAGCTGCCCGAGCTCGGAAGTTAGAGGAGGAGGATTTCGAGAAGAATCGTTCTGTTTTTCTCGACGCCATTAAAGATGTTGAAGATGCTCCTGAGAATGAGGAGTATTCTGCTGGAAACAGTGGTTCTGGGGATGATTTGTTTGGCGAAATCGATAAGGCAATTGCCCAGAAGAGGAAGGAGTTTGTGAAGAAAGGGCTGTTGGAGCCTAATCCACCTAAGAAGAAAGAAGTTGAAGAAGTGGTTGTTGATGATGAATTGGAGGAAGAAGAGGTTGTTGATTTGGAGGAGATTGATGAATTGCAAGGATTAAGGGTTGTCGACGAAGGCGAAAAGGAGGGAGAGTTTACTGATGAAGATGATGTTGATGGTGATGTTGAGGTAAGTGAATTGGGTAAGAATGGTTCTAGTTTGTTTGATTCTTCATTTGATATTGATTTTGATGGTTTTAGTGATAATGGTAAGGTTAATATTGTGGAACCTAGGTTTAAAATGACATTAGCTGAACTTTTAGATGAGTGTAAAGTAGTGCCTATTTCTGTTTATGGAAATCTAGAGGTTGAAATTACAGGGATCGAGCACGATTCGAGGTTGGTTAATGCTGGGGATTTGTATGTGTGTTGTGTTGGGAGTGTTACTGAAGTTGATGGGCATTTGTGTTTGAGTGAGGCTGATAAAAGGGGTGCTGTTGCTGTTGTTGCTAGCAAGGAGATTGATATTGAGGAGAGTTTTGGTTGTAAGGCATTGGTGATTGTGGAGGATACTGATGCTGCTCTTCCTGCATTAGCTGCAGCGTTTTTTAGGTGCCCGACTAAGCATATGTCGGTGATAGGGATTACGGGTACTCATGAGAAAACCGCGACTGCTTTTTTGATAAAGACAATGTATGAAGCCATGGGATTGAGAACTGGGATGATGAGCTCGGTTGCGTATTATGTACATGGTGATAACAAGTTGGAGTCCCCAGAAGCAAACCCAGATGCTATTTTGGTGCAGAAGTTGATGGCTAAGATGCTTCACAATGGGACTGAAGCAGTTGTGATGGAGGCCTCATTTAATGAGCTGGCTCGTGGTCGTTGTGAGGAGGTTGATTTTGATATTGCGGTTTTCACTAATTTGTCAAGGGAACATTCGGATTTTCAAGGGACGGAAGAAGAATATAGGCTTGCTCAGGCTAAATTATTTTCTAGGATGGTTGATCCAGACAGACACAGGAAGATTGTCAATGTAGATGACCCAAATGCATCGTTCTATATTGCACAAGGGAACCCAAATGTCCCTGTTTTAACTTTCGCAATTGATAATAAGGATGCAGACGTTCATCCTTTGAAATTTGAACTCTCTCTGTTTGAGACCACTGTTTTGGTTAATACTCCTCAGGGTATTTTGGAGATATCATCAGGATTGCTTGGGAGGCATAACATTTATAGTATCCTTGCAGCAGTTACTGTAGGGATTGCAGTTGGGGCCCTGTTGGAAGACATTGTGAGGGGTATTGAAGAAGTTGACGCGGTTCCTGGGAGATGTGAGGTGATAGATGAAGAACAGGCGTTTGGGGTGATTGTGGATCATGCCTGTACTCCACCTGCCTTGTCTAGACTTCTGGATTCGGTTAGGGAGCTCAAACCAAGGAGGATAATTACTGGTAAGGTTCTTTTCTTTCCGTTACTCCAATTATATATCAAATCACACTAAGGATGTCACCTTGTTGCTTGATAAGCTAACATTAATGGCATGCTCCGTGCCATTATGGCAAAGGTGATGAAGAAGCGTAAATCATTTATCTCAGGCATCTTTTTGCTCCTATATTTGTAGTCTCACTCTCCCATATCCCTGAAATGGAGATAAGGAACCATTGATCAACAGAGTTCTCTACAAGAACATATTAACCTAAGGGGATCTTAGTATTTACCAGTGTCCGCGGCTCAATAGCCTCAATTTCACTTGTGATACATGCATATCAAGATATTTCAGATGGATGTTTATATTATTATATATGTATATGCTCATTTATTTTACATTAAGTTTTTAAATGTGAACTATTTTTTCATCTTCTGATTCGCTTCTATTCGTGTATGAGCAGTTATTGGCTCTTGTGGTGAGAAAGAGAGGGGAAAGAGACCCTTGCTGACTAAGATAGCAACTGATAAAAGTGATGTGACTATGCTGACATCAGACAATCCAGGAAGCGAAGATCCATGTGAGTATTTAGTAGACCTAATTATTTAACTTGATAAAGAGATTATACGAAGTATTACACTAAGTACATCTTTTCCTAACAAAATAGCTAGATGAAACATGCTATAATTCTCAGTCCTGTTGGATGGAATCTTACTAGTTCAGTTGAAGATGGGGAGGGGGTAACTCACTAAATGCTGCTTCTGGAATGCATACAGGACAGTTGTGTAGATAACTGTACTGACTGATTGTGTGGAGAGCATTGTGTTATATGGTGATGCATCTAACATTAATGTGCACACGTTTTCCTTTGTTTAGTGGATATATTGGACGACATGTTGGTTGGAGTTGGATGGACAATGCAAGATTACTTGAAATATGGGGAGAATGATTATTATCCTCCTCTACCAAATGGTCACAGGCTCTTCCTGCATGATATTAGGCGTGTAGCCGTACGTTGTGCAGTTGCGATGGGGGAGGAAGGTGATATGGTGGTAAGTTCAGGAATCTATGATTTTTTCTTTCTTCGCACCTGAAAGTTTATCTCTGATCTAGGTTGTCATAGTAACATTGTGTCTAAGTTGTTGAGAATTGAGATGGCTTCTCGGTATAAATATGCTCATTCCGTTGCCACGTTTTAAGATGTATTGTTCATATGTGCTCTTAAACAAAGACGGGATTGTCCAATATAGTTGGATACCAGGAGGTTTTTGTGGTCGGATTTTCCTTTGTAGGCATGATCTTTTTTTTAGTTTTTCTGTTATTTCTCAAGTAATTGGTTGTGCTGTTGCAGGTAGTTGCTGGTAAGGGCCATGAAGCATATCAAATTGAAGGTGACAAAAAGGAATTCTTCGATGATAGGGAGGAGTGCAGGGAAGCACTACAGTACGTTGATGAGCTTCATCAAGCTGGAATAGACACAAGTGAATTTCCATGGCGGTATGGTTTTCATTGTCGTCTATATTCTTTCCCATACACACTAGTAATATAAAAATTTACTGTCTTAACAATGGCACGTAGTACGCCGAAGACAATGAACTGACTCTCTATCCATCTATTGCAGGTTACCTGAGAGCCATTAGTTTACTAGTGTGATACAAAATCCGGTAGAGAAAAATCAGAATTCCTTTTGGGTTTGTTGATGGTGCTTGGAAGAGAGCTACCCTTGGATCAATTGGGCTAATATCGTCAATGATTTATTTCCTCATCACTATCAGATCTTTTTGGAGCTAATCAAACCCTTGTGTGGATCTACATAGGGTATCTTCTCTATACATCATATAGTTGAATTTCCAGCTCCCCCCATCAATTATGTCCTAGGTCATCTTTTGATCCATTATATTTGATCAACTATAAGGTGGCTGGAAGCTTCTTTTCTGTATTATATTAACTCTATTGTCTTATATATCCATGGCTTGCCCTCAATTGAAAATTTACATCTCTGATATTGGTGATGTGGAGAAAAATCCTTATCTGAGGGGATAGCTATCAGACCTTTACTCCTTTCCTTTTATGATTGGAATGGGATCAGAATTGCTGGTAGGGAATGAGAACTTCGAAGGTCAGGAGCAAATGACATTAGTTTTTTTTGCGATTAGTGGTCCATACTCTTTTAGGTCACTTAATCTAACTAAATTAGTTTCTCTTTTGGAGAATTGAGGGCAGTGGATATGGATTGTAGAGGGCACTACAATCGAAGGAGTAATAAGCCATGGATTGTGCACAGACTCTTGTGTCTTAATGTTAAAAGACTTTTGAGTCCATGCACAGTTACGAAGTGTTTATTTATTAAGAACAGAGTCAACAGACTACTGAGTATTTTTTTTGGCATGCATGGAAATAAAAGCAAAAGATGAAAATAAAAACACTAGCCTTTTACATGAGCCCAGTTTATTCATAGTAAAAATAGGGGTAAATGTAGTCGTGTATTGTAACTAAATGGAACTAGTATGCAGTGCCTGTATGATGTTGGAGTCTTGGAGATCACATGATATTTAACTCAACAGTTTCCCTTATTTGCAATTATCCTCATTTTATACCTTTGTCCTTATTTTCACTTTCATCCATATGCAGGCCGCAGGATTTGTGTATACCTGAGATTACTGTAATGCACTCTGCCCAACAGTAACTGTAAGGCATTTTGCCCTCTAGTACTTAGGCAGTGATATGGAAATACCAATTTTGAAACTGGATGACTATATAGGTGTCTGTAGTTTGTACAAAGCACAGATTGTAATTTTTGCCTTCCTTTGCTGTTAGTTATTTGCTGTAATCCCAAATGTCTCAAAGTGAAAGTATGTGTTCAATTGCCTGATATAGTTGCTCCAAATTTGACATTTGCCTTTTCCTTTGCTACTAATTTACTATAATAGTATCTCCTGCAGTTAATATGAGATATGATAGCTGATGCGATAAGATCAAATAAAGAAACTTGATCAATCACATTATCAGTCAGGCCAGTGAGTTCATAGACAGAAACTAATCATCTATTGGCAAAAATGACCGAATTTTAATTTTGTGGTGACAGCTGACTCATGACTGTTTTGATTTTCTGATCTATAAGTTGCAGGATATATACTTTCATAAAGTTAGTGCATTTAAGTGTCAACCTGTCCACCCGTTTTTATCATCTGGTTCAAGTTAGTATCAGATTCAAATCTTTATGATCAGAGTTAATCATGAAGATTATGAATGAAAACTTGATATTTTCTTCATTATCATATAATAAATGTCCGGATAAAAAATATGAATGAGCTGTGTTTATTGTAAACACAATTAGTCTTTTTGTAATCTAGCATTTATTTTGTTTCCTTATTGTTATAATCAAGCATTTATTTTGATTCCTTATTGTTATTGTTTCTTCTTTTGTTTCAAAATTCAACAGCTCATTTATTTTCTTCCATTTATTAATTTTAAAGCTGTGAACTACAAGCCTCCTAAAGTTCAAATAAGCAATATCTAAATAGTAATAATTTCCAGTAACCATAAATGGCTGTAATCCTGTCTTTCCTTAATGTGTGGAGGCTACATGAAGAATAAGATAAAATGCAGGAAGAAAGACAGATTTGTCCAGTTACTGGTGAGGAATGTCTTGCATTGGATTTTTTCATCAACTGTACTGGTAAGTTAAGCAATATACATCACCACAATATTTTATTGTGTTTCTGTATCATCTTTCCTCTCGGCGATGTATGTTATCAGACTCAGGTTTTCTAACAATCATTTATGTGTTTAAGTGTATTAAGATGCACAATCACCATTGACATAGGTCATGATTCATTTTTGGTTGTTTGCAACAGATGTACCCTAGGTCAGAATAAGCTCTCCAGCCCACGAGTTTTTGGCGGATTTGAAGCTTCTGTACTACTTTTGAGGTATCTTTGTCAATTATGGCTCTGTAGGTTAAAATACTGAGTCTATGAAAGTTAAATATGATATGATTTGAATGTGTAACATATAGTCACAGATGTTTGGTAAATATAAATTCATGATTCTTTACTCTGTTCTCCCATCTGTTGGGTGTAGCCATGTAGTGATAACAAGGGAAATGTTTTCAGTTTTAGAATTTAGTACTTTCCATCAAAAACCTTTTCTTTTCTGTTAAGTTTTTACATATGTAAATATATGTTGAATCTCCATGTATTGTTGTAATGTTGTGTCAAGTCACTTGACTCAAGTTAGAAGAATTCATAAGACAGAATAACCCAGTTACTAACCAGAAATCTTTGCTGATCAGGCCTCCTATTGAGGTGAGGTGGACCAGGAAATTTTAATATAGAATGAGTGATCAGGATCAGCAATTGCAGCACAGGTGGAATTTCAGAAGGACTGAAAATGATTTTGATTCAAGTGATGATGATCACTCGAGACCCAGTTCTTCTAGTGAGCCTACGAAGCATAAGCTGGTCACTAGTCAATTTTCTGAGGAAAATGCCCAGCAAACCATGCATAACCCTACATCGATTCCAAGTGGAGAAAATGAAAATCAATTGAATTTTGAAGAACCTAACAGAAAGCTGAACCAGCCTGGCAAGACATGTGAGAGAAAGGCTAGATCAAAGAAAACTAAGAGAACTACCTTAAACTACGAGCCTTCAGATGCTACGTTGATCAATTTGAGCGGGTATATGGAATCATTGGTTGAAGAAATAAAAACCGCTAGAGTGGACTTGCTTGCATGGATGAGCAACGAATTAACATCATCCTCCAAAGATGATGTCATTTCCTCTAAGCCTAGTGGGCCAAAGAAAGGCCAAAAACAAAACACGAAGAGAAGCAAAACTCCGAGAAATAATCCGAACAAGGGTAGGAAAAGACCAGGAACAAGTACTCAAAATAAAACCAATGAGGAAGTTGTGGTGCTATCAAAGGAGGGAGAAAATGTTATCGTTGATGCTAAATCTGTTGAAAAGACTGAAGCTAAATCTGTTGAAAAGACTGAAGCTAAACCTGTTGAAAAAACTGAAGCTAAACCTGCTCAGAAACAAAAGGGAAAGACTTCAAGGTCATCTACCAAGAAGCGAAAAACTGATGGCACCGAAGCTGTTGAGCAGACTATTACAGCTGCTGCTGATATTTGTGTGGCATTGCCTTCTGTTCTGCCTCAAAATCAAGTTACAAACTGTGAGAGAATTCCCTTAGAAGATGGGAATGATAGAGATGCTGTGAATAGAAATGTGCTGAATCCCGGAGTCAATTTGAGCTCTCAATGTCTGAATTTTGATCCAAGAGCCCAGCAGAAAGATGGAATCTTCGCTCAAGGTGGTCTGAGGAACGTGAGCGATTTTGGACAGAACTCATGCCCAACTATGGGTAACGGGAATGGAAACGGGTTTCCTTTTCCACTTGCTCCTCAAGGGTCGAATTGTGGTATCGGATTGCCAAATGTCCCTAACCAATTTGGGCAACAATATCTCAGTCAGAGCAATAGGATGTCAGGAATGTTTGGGGAGCCTTCTTTATTTTCTAATGGAAATCATGCTTATATGGAAAAATATGGTGTTCTGAATCAGCCTCTGAGATTTAACTTTCAGCAAAGCGGAGTCATGGCATTACAGTGTCCAGATATTAGAAGGGGAGCATTCAACCAGGATAATGTAACCAATCAATAAGTCTTCCATAAAATAATTAAGGGAATAAGTCAGCAGTAGAAATGCATACCAGTGGACAGTGTTTGGTTTGAAGGGAGATATTCAATAAAGTGTACTGTATTTTATTTTATTACAAGTAGAAAAATTAAAAAACGGTAACACCACGTGACAATCCGTGTGGAAACATTTAATCTTTATGTTTCAGTTACAACTTTACAAGGTGCAATGAGGGAACCTTGAGTAACTTGAGTTGCACCAAGGCTCGCTTTTATTTCGCATTAATAATTATTTTCTTTGGAAATACTTGATTCATAATATAATTACATGCTCCTATAGCCTTAATTCAAGGAGATTTGTAGAGAACAATGATAAAACATACAACAGTTTAAATTAGATTAGTTGGTTAAGTTTTGGGCGGTAATCAAGACATCAAATCGAATCATATAAACATTATTGTATTTTATGACTTTCACTAAAAAAAAATAAAAATAAGAAAAGGTTTTATTCCACCAATTGCAAAATCTTGTATTTATGTCTTTATTGTTACTAACTTATCCTATTTCTTATATAAATACGGTGTTTATAGAATATAAAGTTCTGTCCCCTTCCTTTTCTGTTTGAGAATGAGGTCCTGCCAATTATCAATTTGACACACCTTATAATTTAATGCTTACAAGTTAAATACGGGTAACATGATGCTCTGTAACTAGCATATCTTGTCTGTTGTTTCCCATAATGTTTTTATAATATTGTATAGTTTTTAGAAGAAAAAAAAAAAAAAAAAAAACTTAAACATCCCATGCCATATAAGCTATATACTAATTTAATTTACAATTATTTACCTACTTAAAGCCTTAACAGAATAACAGAACATAGTAATTTTGACTGTGAGCATCTTTTTAGCTTAAAATTGGGGAAATCACTGTCACAAATTTGATATGACAAAAACCAAAAGCTATAACTAATATTAAAATAACAACAGCTGACATCATTTATTTCATATTGTACATGTGTCTAGGGATGTTCAAAAATTGGCCCGGACAAAAAAAAAAGGACAGGACCGGTCCGATCCGGGGTCGGTTCGGACCAAATTAATCGGTCCGGTCTCTGGGTCGAGAACTTTTTTGTTTTTGGTCCGGTCCAGTCCAAAACCCTATAGAAATCGCTCTTGAACCGGACCGGTTTTCTGCTTAAAATTATACATAAAACCTTTAATAATGATTAAAATTATCCTTAACAAGTTTGAAAAACTTTATCATATGAGCCTTTTTGTACTAAAGATACAAGAAAAGACGTTAAAATATTGTTTTTTTTTTTTTTTTTGAATTTTCCATAAATTATTTAAAATTTAGGAATTTTTTTTATAAAAATTCTAAAATCGGTCCAAACCGGTTCGGTCCGGGTTTTGGACCGATTTTTTTCGGTCCAATCCAAGTTCGGTCCTAACTTAATTGATCCGATCTTTGATTCTTGAAATTCAATTTTTCGGTTTTCGGTCCGGTCCGGTTTTAGAGATTTCAATTTATGCTCTATTTTCCCCATTATCAGAACTTAGAGATTTCAATTCCCGATTAAAAAAAAAAAGAAAGAGGATATCTTTGCTTTTGCTTCAGTTGCCAACTTGCCATTTCAAGTCCAACCTTAGGCAGTAGTCAGAAAGGTCACAACTGAATATTTCTTCTCTCTTCTTTCACCCCTGAAAAGCTTAGAAATTCCTCAATTTCTGATGCAGAAGAAATCATAGAATTCTCTAGTGATGGATCTGCAAAGATTGAGCTTGTTTATCTCTCTTTGTGTTCTTGTAATAAGTGTTAGAGCTGGGGATATAATTCACCATGATGATAAAGCTCCACAAAAACCTGGGTGTGAGAATGATTTCATCCTGGTGAGTTTGAATTTTGCAATTTAAATTTCTACCCACTTTCTATTTTTGTTGATTTTTCTTCTGGGTGTCTTTAATTTTACGAAATTCTATTTTTTGATTATGTAATTACTTTTCATTAGAAATAGGTATTAATAATAGTTTAATATGGTGATAAGATTATTGTATGTATGACTTTGAAGTGAAGAAGTGGTAGAACAATTTTTTCTATATTTGCTTTGTTATGATAAAAGCTTATTAGTTTCTTTAATATATTATTATTGTTGCATTTTAGGCTCTTTTCCCAGGTTTATTGTTTTAAACTATATGTTTTATCATTTTAAACTTGGGAGGAATGCAATT